AAATGTGAGCCATATAGGTATTTGTACAATCGAGTAACAGCAAGTAACTGCAAGAGCCTCTCTATGTGTTTGGGAGCAGCCACGTTCAGCATGAATGAGTCTGCGAGAAATGCATAGAATTGGATGAGCGTTCTGCTCCAACAATGCTGCAATGCCAACTGGTGATGCGTCTGCAATTACTGTCGAATGTGCCTTGGGTGAAAAACCAAGTAGAACTGCATCAGTGAAAAGAAAAATTAGTAAGTTTCTAAGGGTGATTTCATGAATAAGTGTCCATTGGAATGTTCGCTGTGAGACAAGTGTGAACAATGGTCCTGCTTTTGTAGCAAAATCTGGAATGAATCTAGAATAATACTAAAGTGAACCGAGTAATGAACGAAGTTCTTCAACTGACTTGGGAGAAGGTGCATTGGGAAGAGATGAAAAACGAGTAGGATCAGGACGAAAACCATGTTCATCAACACGAAAACCGAAAAAGAAAAATTCTGATGTGGAAAAGGTTCACTTATCTGTATTATTAGCAACATAATGAATATTAAACCATTCGAGCAGCAAGCACAGACGCTTATCGTGTAATTCTTTGGTTCGTGCATGAACGATAATGTCATCTTGGTAAGCTAAAGGTCTATCCAAACCAGAAATAAGAGAATTCACAACATTGTGAAATGTAGCCGGTGAACGGCTAAGACCAAATGGGAAAAAGTTATAACCAAATAGACCAAACGGAAAGTTAATTGTGGTCAGTTCACTAGACTTCTCACTAAGTGGTACCTGAAGAAATGCATCCTTTGAGTCTAATTTGGAAAAGAACTTTGATCTATAAATTTGATGGAGGATTTCTTCAGGTTCAATGGTTGAGCAGCTAGTTTGCTTTAAATATCTGTTGACTGTGATGCGGTAATCCCCGCAAATTCTGGGTGTTTTACCATTACGTTCCAACGAAACCACAATAGGGTAACCTAAACAGAAGGATTTACAGGCGTTAATACACCCTTCTCAATTAAATAGTCCAAAACTTTCTTCACGGCCTCACAGAGATCAAATGGTATAACTGGACGTTTCAGAAATATTGGGGAACCATCAATTTCCAAGTGAATTGGGGCCATTTTAATTCCACCCTTATTGTTGGAGCATTTAAGAACCAACTGACGTAATCGAGAATGCTGATCATCAATGAAAAATTAAAGAGAAATTTCCATGCGTTTCATAGAGTTGAGGCCAAAAATAGTAGTGTCGGAATCAATAACAAGAAAGAAGCAATTGAATGTGTGCTATTCATCACCAGTAGGAAGCAGTTCACACGAACCCAAAACAGGAAGGTTATTATCAGTTATACCTTTAACCGAAATATCAGTTATGTTAAGATGCACACGTGGTTTAAAACGCCGAAGAACAGTCTTTGAAATAAACGAATTCACACTACCTGTGTCTATGATGAATGAATGACGAAAACAATGATTGATTGTGAAGGTGCGTGTAGTGTTCAGTTCAAGTGTGGACGCTCGGCCATCTAAATCGGCAGAACGGAGAGACAACTGCGTTATCGAGTAAACGAGCCCATCCCGGTCTGGCTTCATAAAACAATGAGTGGAAACTTCGGAAGTATGGGGTCACCAATGACGCGTAGGAAACTCAGTTCGTCGATCANNNTCAGAATCCTCTACAACACAAACAACACCAAGGTTCTGAAATACGCCGAGGTACTAGCCATTCAAAATTACCATCCCAAACTATGTACACAGCGTGAATGGCTTAGCACTCTGGCGCTACCTTGATAACAAATGTGTTTGGTGAGCAATTTTGACCGCAATCTTTCTCCGCCTATGATTTTGTTATTTATTGACCATATGTTAATGATCACATAGACTGCAGTATGCCCGTGTACAGATGCAGCGAAATGATCCAGGATACATTGTGCAAACCTGTGTTTTTGGCTTCTTTATTCAAGTACGTGTAGTGTGTTGAAACTTATTGGAACTGTTAACGGATAAAACAAGAGACTGAAAATCGGTAGACAAGCATGAATCAAGGACTGACGTATATGTCAAACAGTTACGTGTGCTTCGACAAACAGACTGGATATGCCCAAACTTACCACACTTGTGGCACATGGCATTGCAAAATTTTCAAGTCAGTCGAGAATGTCGCCTACCGCATGACTTGCAAGGGTTCCAGTGGCGGATGTAATAATTTGCAGGTTGTGTGGGCGTCGGACCACGATTAACGGCTTTGTTGACAATTTTGAACTGCCGCGTCTGTCTCGGCTGGACTGATTAGGATCACGAGCAAGGCAGTGGCATTTCCCTCTTCAGCTGCCGCGAAGTTGACTGGCTGGAAATGCATTAGTAGCAGATCATTCAATTCGTCTTACTTCAGTTGTATTGGTGACTCTGGAAGTATCAAATTTGTAATCAGTGCATGAGGTTCCTTTCCAGCAGCAGTAAGAAAATATGTCGTCTTCCTCTCGGCGTCCAGACTCTTGTGGGGGAGACACCAAATCTCAAAACTCTCCAAATAATCTTCCACAAGACGTGAATTCGAATGAATACCAAGTTGCATGTGTCCGTAATGAGATAAAAACTGACCGCGACGCCGATTGTGATAATTATCATAGATTGATCTGTACTTGGTATCGAAATTCGAATCGAAATAAATCCGTGCAGTTAGGCTCTAACCGAACTACTACGCATTATGAAATAAAACACTGGAATCCTGGATGTCTAATTATATTACTTGCGGAAACTGTGCAAAGGCAATCGCTCATGTAAAGAAACAAGAATGTTCAGTTCATACACACTCAACACAAGTACTGCTTGGTAGATTTGCCCAAAGACTCCTGAGACACTGGTGATTCTGGGGTGATGAAATGACACTGATCGGCCTCTGAAAATCGTGAGTGGTGAGAGAGGAAATCAGCCTGCAAGATTGTCTTTCCTAGACGATATTGGATGTCGTAGTTGTACGTGGCTGAGACGATGCCCCACCTCTGTAGCATAGCAGTAGTTGACTTCACGATGGATTTGTTGAGGTTGAACGAGAACTGTAGCGCTTGATGATCAGTGTTGATGGTAGATCGCCACCCGAAAACGTACCCGTTCAATCGTCGAACAGCCCAAAACACAACGAACGCTTCTTTTTGTGTCTGCGAGTATCCCTTTTCAGTTGCATCAAGTAGACGTGAAATGCAGATCACTGGGCGCCCATCTTGTTATAATAAAGCATTGATTCCGACGCCGGACGCATAGGTGATCAGTATGATAGGTTTTGATGGTGAAAGCGGGGCCAAAACAGGACGTTCCGTAACGCAGTAAATTAAACCACGTAAGACATCTTCATACTCTATCGATCAATTCCAAACGTCTAAACACTGAGTACAGTAAAACGGTTGTGCCCTTGTGGCAAAGTTCAGGATAAATCGGGAATCGTATTGTAGGCATCCCATCACAGATCTCAAATGTGTTTGATTCTGTGAGATTCGATGTTAATCAATGGTATGAATTGTGTCGGATCGGGACAGTATCGACGGGCATCAACTGTGAATCCTAGAATATCCAACTCACTCACACTAAACAAACATTTAGACGGCTTGATAGGCACGTTCCTGGCAACGAATCGTTCCAGTAGCTGCTTGAGACGGGCATCGTGTTTTATCTCATTCAGGCCGAAAATGAGGACGTTATCTTGATGTGCCAGCACATCGTCCAGTCCTTTTATTACACTTTCTATTGCCGATTGAAAGAGGCCAGACGAAACATACAATCAGAACGCGAGAAAAGTATACTGGTACAATCCCCAAGGCGTGTTGATGGTTTTCAAGTAGCGAGATTCGACATCGAGTAAACTCTGTAGGTATGCGTCCGCCAAATCGATCTTGGAAAAATACTGGAAACCATGCAACGACTTCATGAAATCTTCCGGTTCCATGGTGGTAGCTGCACATCTCCGCAATCGGGAATTCAAGGTTACTCAATAATCTCCACAGATCTGTGGTGTTCTACCATCACTTTTTATCGCCACGACAATCGGGGTGGCCCAGGCACTGGATTCAACTTGGCTTAGCACATCATCCTGTTCTATGTTCTGTAACGCTTTCAAAACACCTTCCCGGTGACCGCATGGGAGAACGCGACGTTTTAGAAAAACAGGTTCACCATCCACCTCCAACTTTACCTTTGGTACCTTCATACCACCAACTTTACATTGTGCAATCGATTGTTGCAGATGTGAGGTGAGGCTTATCGTTGCTTGTATGTGGTGTGGTGGACCCTTGCTGTAGCCCCACCACTCGCGGACCCAGAATGGACGAAATGTGGTCTGATACCAGGAATCGGATCGGGATTGACACACCGGCCTCAGATTGAATGCAGAACATCGTTTCGCCAAGTAATTGCAATTGATGAGTGAGCACTGAAGTCAGGGTTAGAACAGCATTATGACGAATAGCAGTGAGCTCTGAGTTCCGTAGAGTAGATCCGCTGTTTTCTGTGTCCATGATGAATCGATGTTCCACAGCAGATTCGAACATCAGTGGAGCAAACACGAACTGGATGTTGGGTTCAGTGGTTTGCAGCTTGTAGGTTGGGCTTGAATTCTCATCTGCCATTGGGATATCGGGATCACTGAGGTTGCATATGGGCATTCGGCACACCTTGCGGATATGGTCTATCTTACCGCACGCATGACAAGTGACATTACGGAGCCGACAGGTCGAACGAAGATGGTATTCACCACACGACAACCAACGGTTGGTCACAGCCTTCGTTTGTGTTCGGCTTGAAATGGGTACTTGAGAAATCAGGAGTGTATTTCAGCTGCCTCTATCTCAATAAGTCAGCGACCGTCCGTCCATCATTGGAAAAACAATTCAAACGGCTGATTGACTGGCATCCACCATAGAACTATGTGAAGGAGGTCACCAGGTTTGGAAACTTACAGTCACCACCCATACTGGATTTAGTTTTCACCAACGAGGAACTGATGGCAGAATCTGTCAATGTGATTTCCCCCCTTAGGACGCATCAATCACGCGGTACTTACATTCAAATTTATTTGGTACGCTTCTATTCAAAGAAGCTCCCCAGATAACACGCGCATATCCATAGATTATACACGATTGCAAAATTTGGCACTCTCTATTCAATGGGTTTCCCCTGACGAAGAACCCGATCCGTTAGTCTCCTGGCAGAAATTTATTGACTGTCTTACAAAACTACTGATATCAGTGACTGAGACTAGAGTAATCATCAAATGTAGCATCTGAAATTCATATATTTGAAGCCGCTCGAGGAAAAGAATATCTATGATGGATCTGTCCTTGCGAGATTATAAACCTCTTCCGGATGTTGTCAAGTGGAATATTTATCGTTTGCTGGGGAACCACTGTACCAAGATGATTTGTGACGTTCAACTGAAATACCAAGAGACACCAGAACGGAGACTCATCTCTAACCCTAAGCTGTTGTTATAAGCAATTTAACTTCACTCGGAAAGTAAAGTTTGGTATACCGGCACTAAGCTGTGCTGGTAGAGTTGCAGCTAATCCAATAGAAGTGGCTGAAATACTGAAAACTCAGTATTCCAACGTTTTGCTGTACTACAAGTTGAAGGTCTACAGCTACCTCCCCGATTGCATCATCCTACATATAATTCGCTGACCGACATATCATTTACTCCTGAAAAGGTCATAGCGAAACTAATGGCTTTGCGAAAAATCGCAACCCAAACTGCGGACAGTATACACCCGAAATCCCTGATCGTTTTAGCGAATCACTTATCCGAACCACTAGCCATTTTGTTCCAACAAATATTCGACCAACCATCACGGTAAGGCGTTTGTCTCAACGTGCTAAGGAGCACCACCCGGGGAAAACCCGGCTGTATCATGGGGCATCTCGGACATAAGATCGAACCGGAGAAAGCTTTCGATGTTGTTCATCGCATCGCGCTCAATCGATCAAGGGCGGTCCGAGTTTGGACACTAGCCATGGCCGAGGCGATCGCCATTCGCCCACTGGGCCCTAACCTGTGTGCCCAAAAACGACTGGTGCAGGCGCTCCAATTGCCTTGGCCGGGCGTGAAAACCAAGACAGAACATGACGTGTCACTTGACCTAAGTGGGCAAAGGTCACATTAATTAACACGCTAAAGATTCCTACACGCACACGCATACACTTCCATTACTCTCTGTCTCCGATTAGTGACCTTAAATTGAGCCAATGGCTATTATTATGCAAGAAGTTTTTCCACTATATGATATTTAAGAGCATGACTAGAAAAATCAAAAACGATTTTTCGTTCACTGACACGTTTTCTCAATGCTATCATGGGAATATTCAAACAATCTATTTCGGAATGTTACCACGATAAACACTTTCTGGACGAGCATCCTAAACAAGTAATAAACTGAACGAAAAATGTTTTTTTCCAACTAACTTCGAAGATGAAAGATTAAAATTTATTAGCATCATCACTTAATTACCAGGAAATGAAAACGTAAACGTTTCTCGAGAATTTGTCCAATTTAATTCAATGCGGAAAACCCGGTGTTCAGTGAAACCACAAATTTCCAATTTTGTTTTCTCATCCCAACCTGGTGAGCGGCATAACAACCCCAGAGGTATTGCGCTACCGAGTAAGAGAACTTCGGACTGTCAGAAACAGCGAGCGACCAGGTCGAGTTAATTAGCAGCCCGATATGAGTATGGTCAGCTAGATGCGGGTTGAGTGGCCTCGTGTTGGTGGTGTGGGGGTCACCTGGGTGGGAATTCAAGTAGAGAAGTGAAGTGGAGGCGTGGTTATGGCAACCAGAATGCCGAGCGAATGCAATTGACAGTGAGAGTGAGTGAGAGAGAGAGTATTGTGCGAAATTCAGCATGTCAGTTGCAAGTCACAGTAAAATCAACCAGAGATTCGGCAAAAATCATACCGGCGGGGATGTGTAATACAACTGGTCGGAGAATGTTTAAAAAGGGCAAGGTAAGAAACTCATCAAGAATAGAACATATTTCTCAAGGGAGAACAAAAAATAATCCTGGGCAGATGACTAAGGATACCGAGGTGACGTTTAAGCCATAGCTTTAGTTTAGTTAGTCGACTATAAACTCTGGACGCAGCACAAGTTTCAAGTATCTTATTTGTTGAAACTGCTCACCAGTCTGAACTTCATCATCCAACCTGGGATTCGAACTCCGGCTCGATAGTAAGTAAGGAGTACATATCAAACAGCTCAAATTCGCGTAGACAAGAATAGCCAATACAGTTTTGTTCATTTTTTGTCAGACTCTTCAAATCATTATTACTTTTGGAAAAGAATTGTGATTCCGAGGTAAATTTATTCGTGTTGAATAAGACTGTCACTAAGCACGAAATTGGTTTTAGTCAACTGGAACATGTAAGCCCTAGATACCAAGTCATTTCACATAAAATGTCGACCGATAGATCGATCGATCGGTACGATTGAACCAATACCAAATCATCCACAAATGTATCAATCTGTTTTGCAATTTTTAGTGTACAGTTAAAATCACAAGACTTTCTGGGATGGAATACCTTATCAATAAACCTGAATTTGTGCCATCCTTTTGGAGCAACATGGGTATTTAATACATTATTTGTTAATCCATTAAAATCTGCAACCGCTACCTAGGTTCTCAACTATTTTGCATTCGGTCAGTAGGACACTTGTTCTCGATCAATGGCAGCAGAGTGTTCATTAAATGAAATAAAGTGATTGTTATTCGTACAAAGTCAAAGTGGTCAGAACAATTACTCTATTCGAAAGTCTTGCATTTTTAATCGTCACTAGTGTCGCACAGATTTGGTACCGCATCCATGTGTGTAAGTGTGTGCGGATTAACAATCCGAATAAGTCATTGAATACGTATCGGAGAATTTTATGAGAAAAAATTCGAAAGATTCAATTTGTTTGTCGTTTGTTGTATTTTATGGGCCCTGAAATCTAGGGACGTTGGGGGATTTTTAAGCTACAGTAAGTGAAGCGTCAGAATGTTTAGTATGTCACTGAAACTCAGGTGATTCACGGTCGGTCCCTTAACGGATAAAATCCGTCAAAACGTAATTCGGAGTTTTGGCTCGGATGATAAAGATAAAGTCGCTTTTCATTACCTAAGAATCGGAAGCACCTCTGTGTGTTGGATATACGAATGAATGGAAATTTATTAACAATTAAATCCGCTATAATTGCTCACTTGGTTGTACAAACTTCCAACAACGTTTTGGTCCCTACAAACACTTTCATTTTGCAGTGATTGAACGACATCCGCCAGATGATTTGCAGTGCTCAAGTGACCCACATTCTTCTCAGTCAGATTGGTTATTGTAATGTTTTATTTTGGCGTTGCTGTCGATCATTGCATTGCGTTCCTCTAACCAATCACTTCGGGTTCACAGTCAGTGATCTTAATACCCTACTGACGACATTTCAACCTGATGGAACGTATTCCTGCAAACTATCAGCCTAGTCCGGAATAATTCAAGGCACGATGCTGTTTGTTATCATACATTTACTTGTTCCAGTACCGAACTAATGAAAACCTGCGTCTTAATGTGTTCACCATCTGTCTACCATTCACCAACATTGCAATGGATGCCACTTTTAAATGTCTCATCCTAAGAACTTTGAATGAAAAATTAGAAATTTGGTTTGCCGACTCTGCACCCATGATCATGTCGTATTTTCTAATCGATTTGTATTCTTTACTTTACTCACCATAAAAATCACATCTGTACGTGCACAGATGCCGCGAAATGATTGTGAATCCACTGTGCTAACCAATGTTTATTACCTGTTCATTCAAACCTGGGACTAGACAACCGTGCTTTTAGGTTTAAATAAGTCCGATAAATTTTTATATTAGCAAGATTGGATTAGCCCATTCGATTGGTAAGAGACACCAGGCATTCTTGATGGTCTTCAGTGTGGGTTTCACTACGTGAGAGATCGTTAATTCCCCGTAATTCTATGCATTTACATGTGATAGAAATGTTTTCGATAAACGACAAGGAGCGCTGGACAGCTGTTCGAATCCTGTTTTCAGTTTCTATAACCATTAACCATGCACTATCGTGCGCCAGTATTGGGTGCTGTGTTTTGGATGCCCATTTGGATAAACATAAGGAGAAAGACTGGAAAGGTTGAAAGTAGGATCGAAGAGAAAATTTAGGATTTCACTGCATCAAGTTTGCAGAGAAATCGATAAGATGCACGAACGCCACTCTTTTGAACACTCAACCAAATCACTCAGTGTCTCTAACCATTAGGCATGATCATCCTGAGGCCCCCATCCAGGGAACCTTACGCGACCTATTTGACCCAGTTTCCTGGTTAGGGTTTTCATACCCT